GAGAGAAAAAGAGAAGAGAGGAGAGAGAGAAAAAGAGAGAGAGACGAGAAGAAAGAGAGAGGACGGAGAGAGAGACAGAGAGAGAGAGAGAAAAGAGAGAAAGAGAGAGAGAGAGAGAGAGAGAGAGAGAGAGAGAGAGACTAGAAGAGAGAGAGAGAGGAGAGAGAGAGAGAAGAGAGAGAGAGAGACGAGAGAGAGAAGAGAGAGAGAAGAGAGAGAAGAGAGAAGAGAGAGAGGGGGAGGGAGAGGGAGGAGGAGAGGGAAGCAAGAGAGAGAGAGGGAACAAGAGAGAGAGGGAACAAGAGTGAGAGGGACAAGAGAGAGAGAGGGAACAAGAGAGAGAGAGGGAGCAAGAGAGAGAGAGGGAGCAAGAGAGAGAGAAGAGCAAAGAGAGAGAGAGAGGGAGGGGGGGGGCACAGATGTAGACACACACAGTCTAAGTCATCAACACAATGTCCTTGGCACTAGTAAAATGGGGTCTCTTAAGGGTCTCACACCTACCTGCTACAATAAAGCACCAGCTAAGACCCCTTTCAGTTAACACCTACAAAACCAACCATGTCTCCCTTACATCTGGTGGCATGCGATTTTCACAACCTCTTTCTCGTTTGCAAAAACAGCTTGTAGAGTACAGGGACCTTTGAAAAAGGCTGAGGACTGTGGAAATATATGAGAAGTCCTTGGTAGTTAAAGGCTATAAACCAATCAGCCATCTTTTACGATGTTTCTAAAATCATAAATATTTCCTATCTCCGTATTTTGTAACAATCTCTCCTACCAAATATTTAGCCCTATAAGGTCTACTGCATTTCTATTTTGCTGTAAACCTTTATTCATTCCCCAATATAGTCATTTTAAAACATGGGCAAAAGAAATACCTCAGAAATTGCTTCTTAATATAATCCATTATATTTGAAATCTGGATAAGTAACCAAAATGCCCAAATCTTCAAAAAGTACATGACTGGTACATTTCTTTAAAAAAGTTTATGTTCAAATAAGATTTGAAACAAATCCATCATATACGCATCACAATATAGAAGGCCAAGAAAATACATGCACAAACTTATCAACATTTACTAATGAAAGCTTCCATACAGTATAGAAAATAGGAAGATTACAAGCAATTGATTATTGTTGCATTATAATGAGGGATCACATTACTTCACCAACACCACCTGCTTCATGACAACAGGACAGAAAAGTCACTTTCACAATGAAAGACATTGCATTTTTAATTTTTTTTCTTTTTTTTTTTGTAACATGATAAAAACCTAAACTAGCATATGATAATGAAATGCTTGTGATTTCTAGTTGTTAAAAAATACAACTGCAAATGAATTTTCTTTTTTAAACTTATGCAAATTACAATTGCTTAGCTATAAGATAAAATGGCGTTGGTATACTTACTATCAATTCGATGATAATCCTAACACCGGTTTTTACCAATTCTAACCAATGCCAAGTAGCCACATTTCACCTTAAGAATTTTGCTTCTATTAATAAAATAGCTATTAGGTTTTTCTTTTCTTTAGTGAATCTTGGTCCTATCTGTCTAAATCTGGCCACTGAAAATCTTGTGGACAAAGAGTCATACAGGAATGCAAAATGCCTGCTAATTTCACAAGATATAATACCTAAAAGCTGGCAAAGATTTGTTATGAGTATTCCTTACTTCTTAAGACTGGTATGGCTATATCTTACAAATTTCTTAATGAGAAAATTTCAATATTATTTCACCTGAAGTGAAGACCCTTTTCGTAAGTGGGGGTCCCTTCATTACCAAAGATACGTGGAAAATGTTTCTTTTTTTAAGCACAGTGCTAAAAAAAGAGATCCTATATCACTTTCTTATACAATAATTTCATTCTTTAATACCTGGTAGCTTTTAGTAACCTGCCCATTACTTTTCAACATTCGATGTCACTGTACTGAAAAATTACCTGTCAAAATCCAAGCGCCACCTCTGACATTGAGCATATATTCTGATGTGTATTCTAATGTACCAAACATTACTTCATCAAAACCAAAACCAAACCAAAGACTATTATTGAATATTTTACTTCAGATCTAATGCTCTTTAAAGTGCAAATACTACTAATTAATACATTTTGATATTCTGGTTGGTATAATCTATGTCTTCTTTTTGCAGGCTAAATAATTTACAGTGCAAGACACAAGCCCACATTCAGAATATTTAGTTATTTACTATTTCAACAACTGTAGAAAGCTGGGAAATAAAGATCATTCTACAATACTGAATCCACTACTAACTTGAGCCACAATGAGTATTATTGCATCACAATAATCTGAGCAATATACCAAAAACAAAACACACACACAAAACAAAACATAAAACAAAAAGAGACATAAAAATAGGCTGAATCATAACTTTACTGTATTTCTAGTCTTCTCTGACTTTTCCAATTTAGAAGACAACGACAAAGATGAAAAACAAGTACAGTATTGCAGATGAAAAAGCTACATCAGGATATATCATCAGCAAGCGATGTCTATGGGAGAGGTAGATCCAGGGCATGAGACAATTTCAATATAGGTTTATATATCTGTAGCACAAAAATAAAGAATTTCGCTTAAATCGGAACTGCCCTGGATGAATCTCGGCAGCAACACGCAACAGACCCCGGAGAAAATCACTCGCCAATGTACGACACCTCCCCAAGGTTCTGCACATATGCAAGCGAGGGCAAATTGTAAGCTACAGTTTAGAGAACCAAGAATTAGCACACATGGTTTGTTACTTGACTAGAAATAAGTGTGGGTTCATACACATTGCAGTTGTAAATGTACATAATAAAAAAGAGGAGTGGCAATTGCATCTACTGTATGGATATGGAGGCATTACAAAAGAATACATACCTGTGGTTAACAGATATCAGCAATACATGAATTTTCAAAAACAGTGTACATGATATAATACTTATATGTTTAGCAGCTCTTGGGTTTACTCTTTTGTAATCTAACCAACACTATAGTTTTGCTTTTATTTATGCAGTGCTTCCTTCCTGTAAAGAACAAGAACAAGAACAAGAAAAAAAAAAAATAATAAAAATAAAAATTACAGGAAAAAAACAAACTTAACCATTATAAAAGAAAGAAACAAAAAATCATGATCACATAAAGCTGCCATTTTTCCATATATGCTGCAATCCTGTAACCAGGGCAGTTACATTATAAAACTGTGAAAGTGAAATGTGATTTTCCATGGCACTGATTACCTTAATCAACAACGATGCAGGAAGTGAACATAATGTGCTCTTCAATGCTTCAAAAAAGACTAACTACATTAATCCCACCCGACTCCTTACTGTAAGGATGCACTGCATTCTATACATAAAATACAATTTGTGCTTGGTCAAATACCCATAGAATCAGGTACAACAAAAAAATATCCCAACATTCTGAGGTATTGACAAAACTAGTGTATTTACAGAACTTTGGCACAAAACAGAATGTTACGTGACTTTCCATTTACGAGAAAAATCAAAGCTTGAATTTTCTTATCCCTTTTTTGCTAAACTTACTCTATGAAAATAACTTGCATTCATAATACAGTAATGTTGGATTCTTCGGCTTTCTTTTTATTGAAAAATGCAAATAACTTGTCTTCATTTGTACTTGGAAAATCTTTGATAAATGCGAACTTTTCCTTGAGAACCAGAAGCATAAAATGAAGACAAAAAATTCCCAACATAAGAAAGAACATCAAAGCTGTACCTGTAGATGTTTAGCTTGAGAATCCAAGGGAATAGCAGCACTGGTCACATTCACTATTTGGTCATAAACATATAGAGGAAAAACATATAAAACAAAGCTTGTTCTCAGCCATCTACAGCTCTGAAATAAAACAGAGTTTAATAAACTTAAAGCACCATGCAACATCATATAAAAAAATAGATAGGTTCCTAAAACTAACTGAGATTTCAAATGAAAAACCTTACTCTAGTCGAGCACCGGTGATCAAAGGGTGAGTAAAGACAACAGCCCAACCTACATCTGGACCTTCAAACTTTAGCACAATGTAGAGATATGTAAGCAATACATAGTGTTGAGATTAAATAAATACCGACTTATAGTATTTAGCTGCAACCTGTGCCAGGATACCAGAACAGGACTTACGATACTTTTATTAAACACAGGTTATGCACTGTGTGTAGATCAGTAATCTGTCTATTCTTAGGTCTATTCTTAGAACTCACGCCTACAAAACTGGTGGTAAAATCTGTAGTTGATGTACCTAAAGTAATAACTAATTCCTGAAATAATGCAAACTTCCTTACTCCATGGGCTGTCATCCAATGGAAGAAAATCAGCAATGCTATCAGGAGTTTAAAAATAATAACTTCAAATGTCTCTTTGTCCGAATACATCTGGATTACTCCATATCCCTTTTCCCAATATCACTTCCAATTGAACAGTGATAATAACAGCTAAAAGGAGCAGATACTGTAAATCATCCATACCTGTACACAAATGTTACCATGCATACATTATCAGACTAATTCTGACGTCAATATCTCCCTGACGAGGATTATTATCTTGGGACACAAGAATCGTAACAAAACAGATTTGGGTCAATCCAGGTATCAAAAAATAAAATGTTCCTAAAAATTAATAATACACTTTCATGTTGCACATAATATAAAATGCCCATATGCAATTCTTGTCAATGTGTACTATTTGATTATCTTTATTAAGTGCGGTATTTTTTCCATTCACTACAAAGCGGATTATAATTCTAAATATATCATTGATTATCATTAGAAAAATCCTGGAGCATGAGATCCCAACGACATGACAAGAATTGCATGTATCACTTAAATTGGACCCATAAGACACTTTCCTGCACTCTTTTTCTTTTTTTTTCTTGCAGGCCAAGAGGGAATGTCTTAATACTAGCTAATACAGCAGAATCACCTTTCCTTCAATAAAATTCATTTCTCTCGATGCTTTTTAAGCCATACCTGTATTTTCACTTTCCAAAGCAAATACTGCAATACTTTCAATTTGAAAATACTATAAAATGATAAAAAACAAACGCTTCATCCAGACTAGACTATCAATCACATTATACCGTTCAACTTTAAAAGCACAAACTTATCCGGCTATTTCACATGGAATACAAGTACACCTCATTCTAACACTGTGCAATCACTCATTTCTTCTGCATCGCTCTTCTTCCTCCCTACCTCTGTTTCTTCTACCTGCATGGGCATCCTCACTACTGTTTTCTCGTATATGGGGTTCTGGAAAGTGTCGAATTTGCGCCCTAACCCAAGTCGAACAGGGTATCTTTTGCGGTACACGACGATGGATGTGATGACAATGATAATGAAGAGAAGAAGGCCTGCTGCTCCAATGATGATATACATGGTTAAGTCATCTTCTAGAGAGATGTCAAGTAAGCCTGTAAAAATGCCGAGCTGGTTTTCTTCTTCTTGAGCTTCTGTTGAGTTTACAATCGGTAGCAAGTTACTTATTTCTGTCTCGTATTCATCCACCTCCCCCAGAGAATGGTTGGTCAACATCTCATGATGCACATCTGTGTCGTAGTCTTCATAAAGATCTTTGGTATCAGTTTCCTTCTCTTCTTCGTCATTCTTGAGGTCTTGTTCAGGGAACATTACTCCAGGCTGAAAAGGAAGGTGAAGAAAGTCAATGATGATTTGGGGAGAAAAATAACAAAACAATACAGAAGGGTTTTTGGATAACAGGGAAAGAACAAACTGTCCTGTTTCTGAAAGGCCAACAAGGCAGTGAGTGTGAAGAACAGAGGTTCAATTATGACAATTGCAGAAGGTATAAATGAGAATGAATACTTCCATAGCACAAGAAATGGAACAGACACTCCTTGATTAACTCTTCCTTGGAATGCCATGTTTTTCTAATACACATGTATTAACCAAGATGTATCCATTACATCTCTTGCTTTGTAAAAGTATTCCTTCTTATCTATACTGTTTACTATAAACGAATATGAGATTCAATATATGAAATAAATTGAAGGTGGGTGAATACAAGAGAAGCGACCACTTAAAACAACTAGCAATGAAGAAGCAGAAGCATTAATCAGCACAAAATGCAAAACAGACTCCAAAAGAGTGCATTAACTAATTCCAACATACAGCCTCACAAACCAAATAATTGACAACTTAGAAGAAAAAAAATCAACTGTGCTCGACCAAAGAAAGAGAGGAAAAAGAAGGGACACTCCACACATACAGCAGCAAATAAAGAGAATTACATAATTAGAGATTTCAGATTGGTTAGTAGGCCAAAAAAATCATACAATGGAAGTCCAAACCACCATTCAGTTCAAGGAAAACACACAGTCTTCTCTCTGGGTCTGTTAATTCTCCTTCTCCTTGTCTGCTGTGTTTTCAATGAAAGAAAGAAAAAAGGAACAGCACACAAGGTTTTAATTATTTCCAGTAAGAGTAAGTGAACAATCCTGATTTTATATCAATAGCGCAATATATCTCCTACAACTTAGTTAAAGAAAGTAGTTGCAGCCAATAAAAAAGTTGTTTGCAGACGAATTGCTTTTTAGGCAAAAACATCATGCACTGTGGTGCACAAATGTGGTGTAGTTAAGCAATACTTCAACTTCCTGTTGTCACTAGATCTTGTGAAAAGAACAAAGTCAATAGAGGCAATTCCATTTGTTACAAGAATGTCTCTTGTATTCTGCAAAGAAATACTATGAATACTATAGAAATGAGAATCATATCTACATACTATTTTATGTATTCTCTACATTCACTAACTTACTATTAGTATTATGTGGCAAATGAGAGGCAGAACATTTAGTCACTTGCAAAGTCAATTTTTGTCAATTCCATTTGTTACAAGAAAGAATTTCTCTTGTATTCTGCTAAGAAATACTATGAATACTATAGAAATGAAAATATCTATACAGACTATTTTACCTATTCTCTGCATTCTCTAACTAACCCAATATTAGTATTATGTGGCAAATGAAAGGCAGAACATTTAGTCACTTGCGAGTATACCTGATAGTGTGTACAGTATACTGTTTAAAATTCTACCATGCTTATCTAGTTTGTTGTGCAAAACTTAATGATAATGTTAGCTTTACAAACAATGTTCTATCATTACTTTACTAGTACTATTAAGAAAGGTTACAATAACAACTCCATAATTCAGCATTCCATAATTTGCGGCTAATATGTTAGTCCTTTTTTTTCTCCAGTCTGAAGACCTTTCACTGTGCTACTTCATTTTGATAAATAGAGGCTGTATATTTAACTGTACTATTCATCACACAAAGGAAAATATACCTATATGAATGGTATATGCTGTATGTTTTTCCAATACATCTAGGGCTTTTCCAGGTAAAACGCTCTTTCAGTAACATTCTACAATAAGTAACACAAACACCCTTAAAGAAAACACATAACACGAACAAGGAAGATATCTACACGCATACACACACATATCCTTTTTAAATTTCCAATTCAAAAGGCATTACCATGTGGCATCTGGAATTTCGGCATAATTTGGCCCATTCTCTGCTGAATCATGGAGGTTTTACTGTATCAAGCAAACCAACTTTGTTTCAGGCAATGGTCAGGTAATCACTCAGCCATACAAAGTGAACCACTGTGTAGTGTGTTTGCTGTTTACTGTTTACTGTTTATCTCTGTGTGTCTTTTACTGAAGCCAATACAATAAGTTGTTCACTCGCTGTTGGTCCGTTGTTTTCATACCGAGCCGGCGAGGATGCACTCACCATCTTTCCGTGTGGTTCACTGTCGGGAGCAGATATCAGGAATGTGCCATTCTCTGAGGTCAAACTACTGCCATTCACACTGTCCGAAATTTCTATTGATCCCATTGGGGCATCAGACATCAGTTTATCCTGAAATGTATCAAAACTTGAAAATCTTTACCTCTCTTCAAAAATGTGTCGAGGGCCTAAATTCCAAGTGGTAAAAGAAGGGTCAGTGGGTGGGGGAAAAGGGAGGTGTCCTTCAGGGAGGGAGGGGGGGAGGGTAATGGAGGTGGCGACAGATTCATTGCGAAACTTTTCAAACACAAAGATGGTTAATTGCACACACAGCCACAAAAAAGAAGGATCATGCATTACACAATCTGAAAGTCCTTGAAGAGAAAATGTAAGCACAGAGGTCAAAAGGAGATCTAAACAGAACACATTCCAAGCTTTGTGCGACATCCCAGCGAATCACACACAAGCATCTTTTTTGTACAACACCCGTTGAGGTCTATAGTATCTAATTTTGGTAGAGTGACAATCCAAACAATTACAAACATTCACCATTGTTATATAGCTCTACTTATATGTATATATAAATATGTATACATATATATATACATATATATAGTGTATGTGTTTGTATCAGAGAGTAAGAGAGAGAGTATGTGTCTATGGGTGAGGGTGTACATGGGTCGCATGAATGGGTGACAAGTGTGCCTTAATTTACATAACTCTATACATACTATGACTTATTTCACTTGTTCATGGCTTCAGCTAATCAATTATTCTTTTAAAATACTTGCTTGTAGATTTTCACATATTCTTGTAAAACTGACCTTCCCTCTGTCATTCCTCGCATATATCAAACCCACTGCTGATGGGATGACCAGAATACGTGCCATGTTCACTGTGTCTTTTATGTTTATTAATTGTCTTTACATGCAGGTGCTTCCACAAGTCCTTAATCACCATGGAGTAAATCACCTCTTCTATTAGTATTTTCAATAACATCATCATAATCATAATATCATGAACAATAACAACTTTTATACCTATAGTTTAAAAATAGAAGAAAATTTTTAAAAAATCGAGGAAAAGGGAAATCAACCGAGGAAATATAGCCTTACTACTTGTCTCCTTGGTGGCTAGAAAAATAATTATAGTTGAAGTTTCAACAAATTTGTGAACTAGCTTCAAAGTTTCATAAAAAAAAAGACATTACACACCTTGCAGCTTCTCGGTTCTACTGTATAAACTGCCCTGGCCACTCACAGAACGAGATGATCCATGCTATAGCTCCCCCAAAACAGGCCAACGAAAAAGTCAGAAAGTTGCAGCTGTCCTTCTTCCCATAAACACAAGACAGGTACGGTGAATGACAATAGCTGTTGTGTCTTTGTCTGATGATTGAATAAAATCTGTGTAACAATATGTAGGACCTAACAGAATTTACTTGATGTTTGGTACTTGACCAAATTTCACAACGCAAATTTTGTATCTGACTATACATACAGTATTTCATGTAATATCTGTCCCAGTATGATACACCCCAAAGGAACTGCTGAACAACATTCTCTCTGCTACCCAGGTTGGGGATCTTCAAATAAATATAGCATTTCTGTTTAGAATTACGATCTGCCATACTCGCTACATAGCAGGAAGAGCAAAAAGAAAAGAAATGCTCTCATACTTTTACTAAACTGAGTTGCAGCTTACCAGATAACACTACCACAGTTCTTTGTTAATGAAACATCAGTGATAATGGACATTTCATGTAGAGACTGCATCCAAATGTACCTTCCAAATTTTGGTTAAATCAGGCAAATAGAAATTATGAACACCAACAAAGTGAACAAATAGCCAATTTCAAATCATCTGGCAAAATAGGTCCTTATAAAATCTTGTATCCTAAAGATCATGGATTAGTCACCCTTTTGTTAAATTCCGTGTTGTTGAAAAGGTTGGCTAGCAGAAGAGTAGTAAATCTTGACGATGTAAATGAAGTGTGTACAACGCAAAAAGTCAAAAACAGAATAAAAAAATAAACTTCCCACCCCAGCTAATTATGGGCAATGCACTTCATTCTTCAATCTGCTGTAACTAAATTCGTAAATCTGTAATCTATCAAAACTAAACTTCAGGATTTCAGTTTTACAGATCATTATTAAAGGTGATAATCCCAATTACAAATAGAATAATATAATTCCATAACCTAATAAAGATCTCCTGATCTAGATTCTGAAGTTATGTTGTGATTCTCCATGATAAAAATGTACTCAATCTCCATTTTTTCTTACATTTTATATCTACATGACTTGGCATTCTTTGGTACACTATATCAATTTAACCCATTGGCACCGGGTGTCACGTACGTACATGCCATGGCTGTTGTGGACCAAACGCCGGGGGCATCATGCCATGCCCATTCCAGCGCTACTGGCTCGTCGGATGGAGGTTGTTTTTCTCCACTATTAGCGGTTCCATTTATATGGTAAAGATTTTAGGCAATGGCACCTAAAGTGAAGGTAAACCTTCAAAATTTTAATATCTTTAAAAATTTTAGAAAAATAAAAGCTTTTAGGTGCTATATGTCGCTCGCAAACTACCGATCGAGCCGGGCGCAAACAGGGGAAACTGCCAGTGCGCGCCAACAAGCCAGCACATACGTAAACTTGACAAAATTTTTACCCGTCGCTGATGGGTTAAAAAATGCCTTATAATACATATGTCACAGTAAACTCTAGGTCCTAAAAAATCGCTGTTAACCATCAATGCCAAATTTCACAATCTTATAGATATTTGATTATGCACTATCACTATTCCTTGTTACCATTTCCAGCCTCTTGAAAATTATTTTTCTTCAGCAGTAATTCATATTACACTAATTAATGTCATATAAGTCCTGGCATTAACAATATATTTCAAAGGATACTATACTAAACTAAGTTCCCTTCCAATGAGGAACAGGCAGAATCCTTCGTGTTTCAGGAATACTATATGCGAGCTTGCCTTTTCAAATATGTACTAAGGACAAAATTATTTGATCACTCTCCTTAATGTCATCT